GTGTGTGTGTGTGGGGACTTCATGCCAGATTATTTATGTCATTACTCATCTAAAAAAAAAAAAATGCGAGTATGCAGACATTAGCAATCATATTTTATCTCTTCATAAAATATGGTCTAGGTAATTATGTGTAACTGCTGGTATTTTCAGAAAAGCGGATCGCATTCCTCGCATCACCTGCAGTGCGTTTGCAGCAGACGGACACCAGGGCCGTTCTGTGTGTGTTTTAGTAGTGAAATCAGAGCGAGGCATCTCCTCATGAGAGGTTAACGGTTAGTAACCGTGGGTTAAGGTGCGTCACATCAGCCAAATCTAGCAGTCAGAAAAGCTCCACCGTCTGCTGTCAGTAGTGTAGAGATGAAGCGCCGCTGAAACACAAGTCACTGTCAAACCAAGCAGCTTTCTGTTGGTCAGTGTGGCAAATTCGTGCGACCAACTTGAACCTGTTGCGAAATCTGCATGAGGAAATCTTTCGGCCCCATCAGGGGCGGATCTAGAAAATTATTTTTAGGGTGGCATGAGGACTGTGAGGGGTGGCAACACCAAAGCAAACAAGCATTCGATCATCTGCGTAATCTATAGTATATCATCTACACTACAAGCAGCAGTCATCAGGGTCCAAGCACCAATGGCCCATGTGCATGATTAGCCATCTGACTGAAATTAATCTCATAATGCGTTTTCTACAGGAAAGTCCAACTGGAATCTGCACTGAAAGTTAGGGTTTGATGAAACGGGTTACAGCACACACAGCTGTCAAAAAGGGCAACAGACTTTCAAAAGAAATCACTCTCTCTTACTGTTTAAACGAGAAGTATATTAGCCCTCTAAACATGTTTACTGTGGTAAGATTGTGAATCGGGACTATTGTATATGTGGTGTAAGTGCGGACTTCTATTCAACATTTTATATCTAGACAAATTGCGTGTCATAGGATGTCAATTTCAAATTAATGTGAAGATATTTGCAGCTCAAAACTTCATCTGAATTTCTATAATTATGTATAATAATGCTTGCAGTTTAAGTGTTTGTTTTATTATTCATACCACAATAGTAAATAAGTGTTTTATGAAATATGTATAATATTATAATAATGTTATCTTGAAAAAGACAAATAAATTTGTCTCTTCATTTTAAATGGATAGCAATATATTTAATCGTGTCTGGCAACTTGAAAATGTTTTATTAAGGGTCTATAAAAATTAAATATTTAATGGTCTAAATTTCTCAGATTTCACTGTACACTAATAATATAAAACTATACTGTCAGTACACAATACTTATACAGATGGACTAAATTATGCATTTATTTGCATTCAAAGAGATAGAAAAAGATTGGGATTAAAAGATTGCTTATCCTGTGGCCCTCTAGTAAGATTCTGGCTCCCCCTAGTGGACAACATTAATATATCTTCATCTTTCAGTTGAAATGGCTGTTAGCTTAGAATTTATATCATAAATTCATTAGACAGTAAATTCACATTTGGTGCTTGGATCCTTAATAACAAAATATCAATATCCAGGGCATCAAAACACTGTCTATTAAACACTCAACACACTGTAATGTCTCTGAACTCGTTATTTCAGAAAAGACCTTGTCAATTAGCCAACATGAAGTTTTTCTTAAAAAAAAAAAGTGTCAGTCTAGTTACGATTAAATTTCTTACCCAACTTTGCTTTTATTTTCCGTGATCGCGATCATTTTATTTGGTCGGATGTCAAATATATCCTTGATGAAGCGGAGAATCCGCGCGCCACAAATATTCACGCAGGATACAAGTCAAAATAAACGATGAGAAGCGCTGTGGAAAATAATTTTGTATGTAATAACTGAAAACAATCCATTGGTTTGTGAATTGGTCTACCCGGCTACACTGCTTGTGCTGTGTGTTTCGGACTCAACAAAAGCCGTGCTTTCTTGCCATTTTTTCGCGGTACATCCATCTTTTTTTATGTCCTCACATTAAAGCGCAGCTGCTAAAATTTGGTAAAAACACTGCTTACATTTATATTTAATCCTGGGATAAATCTGAGGCCCCATGCAGAGTTTTCATTAGTGACTGCACTGACGTCTTTGGCACATTAGATGCTTCACAGAAACATCTGAATAATCGTGCTGTTCAATACGACTGACGAGTTTTACTGGGACTTCACTGTTATTTTGACACGTTGCTGTTATATTCTCATAATACGAGTATTTATTGAACACAGCAGCAGTTTCAACACAGAGCGATTCGCCATTAAACCTCAAGCGCTTGGTGGAGCCACTCATGAACCTCAGTGTAACGGAGCGACGCAGTCCGTGTCAGAATGATATCATAATTCACTGAGATGATATTTGATAAGCGCAGCAGTGATAAATGACGTCACGACAGTGACCTGAGTCTTGCTGTGCCTAGAGTGTTGCTGTAGGCTGGTAAACTTCCGGTTCCCACTTTTACCACTTCCTGTTTACCCATCTGAGTGTAAAGGACTTAAGTGTGTGTGTGTGTGTGTGCGTGTGAGAGAGAGAGAGAGTGTGTGTATGTGTGTGTGTGTGTGTGAGTGAGTGAGTGAGTGAGTGAGTGAGTGAGTGAGTGAGTGAGTGAGTGAGTGAGTGAGTGAGTGAGTGAGTGAGTGAGTGAGTGAGTGAGTGAGTGAGTGAGTGAGTGAGTGAGTGAGTGAGTGAGTGAGTGAGTGAGTGAGTGAGTGAGTGAGTGAGTGAGTGAGTGAGTGAGTGAGTGAGTGAGTGAGTGAGTGAGTGAGTGAGTGAGTGAGTGAGTGAGTGAGTGAGTGAGTGAGTGAGTGAGTGAGTGAGTGAGTGAGTGAGTGAGTGAGTGAGTGAGTGAGTGAGTGAGTGAGTGAGTGAGTGAGTGAGTGAGTGAGTGAGTGAGTGAGTGAGTGAGTGAGTGAGTGAGTGAGTGAGTGAGTGAGTGAGTGAGTGAGTGAGTGAGTGAGTGAGTGAGTGAGTGAGTGAGTGAGTGAGTGAGTGAGTGAGTGAGTGAGTGAGTGAGTGAGTGAGTGAGTGAGTGAGTGAGTGAGTGAGTGAGTGAGTGAGTGAGTGAGTGAGTGAGTGAGTGAGTGAGTGAGTGAGTGAGTGAGTGAGTGAGTGAGTGAGTGAGTGAGTGAGTGAGTGAGTGAGTGAGTGAGTGAGTGAGTGAGTGAGTGAGTGAGTGAGTGAGTGAGTGAGTGAGTGAGTGAGTGAGTGAGTGAGTGAGTGAGTGAGTGAGTGAGTGAGTGAGTGAGTGAGTGAGTGAGTGAGTGAGTGAGTGAGTGAGTGAGTGAGTGAGTGAGTGAGTGAGTGAGTGAGTGAGTGAGTGAGTGAGTGAGTGAGTGAGTGAGTGAGTGAGTGAGTGAGTGAGTGAGTGAGTGAGTGAGTGAGTGAGTGAGTGAGTGAGTGAGTGAGTGAGTGAGTGAGTGAGTGAGTGAGTGAGTGAGTGAGTGAGTGAGTGAGTGAGTGAGTGAGTGAGTGAGTGAGTGAGTGAGTGAGTGAGTGAGTGAGTGAGTGAGTGAGTGAGTGAGTGAGTGAGTGAGTGAGTGAGTGAGTGAGTGAGTGAGTGAGTGAGTGAGTGAGTGAGTGAGTGAGTGAGTGAGTGAGTGAGTGAGTGAGTGAGTGAGTGAGTGAGTGAGTGAGTGAGTGAGTGAGTGAGTGAGTGAGTGAGTGAGTGAGTGAGTGAGTGAGTGAGTGAGTGAGTGAGTGAGTGAGTGAGTGAGTGAGTGAGTGAGTGAGTGAGTGAGTGAGTGAGTGAGTGAGTGAGTGAGTGAGTGAGTGAGTGAGTGAGTGAGTGAGTGAGTGAGTGAGTGAGTGAGTGAGTGAGTGAGTGAGTGAGTGAGTGAGTGAGTGAGTGAGTGAGTGAGTGAGTGAGTGAGTGAGTGAGTGAGTGAGTGAGTGAGTGAGTGAGTGAGTGAGTGAGTGAGTGAGTGAGTGAGTGAGTGAGTGAGTGAGTGAGTGAGTGAGTGAGTGAGTGAGTGAGTGAGTGAGTGAGTGAGTGAGTGAGTGAGTGAGTGAGTGAGTGAGTGAGTGAGTGAGTGAGTGAGTGAGTGAGTGAGTGAGTGAGTGAGTGAGTGAGTGAGTGAGTGAGTGAGTGAGTGAGTGAGTGAGTGAGTGAGTGAGTGAGTGAGTGAGTGAGTGAGTGAGTGAGTGAGTGAGTGAGTGAGTGAGTGAGTGAGTGAGTGAGTGAGTGAGTGAGTGAGTGAGTGAGTGAGTGAGTGAGTGAGTGAGTGAGTGAGTGAGTGAGTGAGTGAGTGAGTGAGTGAGTGAGTGAGTGAGTGAGTGAGTGAGTGAGTGAGTGAGTGAGTGAGTGAGTGAGTGAGTGAGTGAGTGAGTGAGTGAGTGAGTGAGTGAGTGAGTGAGTGAGTGAGTGAGTGAGTGAGTGAGTGAGTGAGTGAGTGAGTGAGTGAGTGAGTGAGTGAGTGAGTGAGTGAGTGAGTGAGTGAGTGAGTGAGTGAGTGAGTGAGTGAGTGAGTGAGTGAGTGAGTGAGTGAGTGAGTGAGTGAGTGAGTGAGTGAGTGAGTGAGTGAGTGAGTGAGTGAGTGAGTGAGTGAGTGAGTGAGTGAGTGAGTGAGTGAGTGAGTGAGTGAGTGAGTGAGTGAGTGAGTGAGTGAGTGAGTGAGTGAGTGAGTGAGTGAGTGAGTGAGTGAGTGAGTGAGTGAGTGAGTGAGTGAGTGAGTGAGTGAGTGAGTGAGTGAGTGAGTGAGTGAGTGAGTGAGTGAGTGAGTGAGTGAGTGAGTGAGTGAGTGAGTGAGTGAGTGAGTGAGTGAGTGAGTGAGTGAGTGAGTGAGTGAGTGAGTGAGTGAGTGAGTGAGTGAGTGAGTGAGTGAGTGAGTGAGTGAGTGAGTGAGTGAGTGAGTGAGTGAGTGAGTGAGTGAGTGAGTGAGTGAGTGAGTGAGTGAGTGAGTGAGTGAGTGAGTGAGTGAGTGAGTGAGTGAGTGAGTGAGTGAGTGAGTGAGTGAGTGAGTGAGTGAGTGAGTGAGTGAGTGAGTGAGTGAGTGAGTGAGTGAGTGAGTGAGTGAGTGAGTGAGTGAGTGAGTGAGTGAGTGAGTGAGTGAGTGAGTGAGTGAGTGAGTGAGTGAGTGAGTGAGTGAGTGAGTGAGTGAGTGAGTGAGTGAGTGAGTGAGTGAGTGAGTGAGTGAGTGAGTGAGTGAGTGAGTGAGTGAGTGAGTGAGTGAGTGAGTGAGTGAGTGAGTGAGTGAGTGAGTGAGTGAGTGAGTGAGTGAGTGAGTGAGTGAGTGAGTGAGTGAGTGAGTGAGTGAGTGAGTGAGTGAGTGAGTGAGTGAGTGAGTGAGTGAGTGAGTGAGTGAGTGAGTGAGTGAGTGAGTGAGTGAGTGAGTGAGTGAGTGAGTGAGTGAGTGAGTGAGTGAGTGAGTGAGTGAGTGAGTGAGTGAGTGAGTGAGTGAGTGAGTGAGTGAGTGAGTGAGTGAGTGAGTGAGTGAGTGAGTGAGTGAGTGAGTGAGAGTGTGTGTGTAAGAGAGAGAGAGTGTGTGTGTGTGTGAGCGTGTGTGTGTGTGTGTGTGCGCGAGTGTGCAGGACACACCCTCATTTACTTCCTCTTTTCATTCAGTTCCCTCTTTAATGCTGCAGCTGCCACCCGTCTGTCCTCCTCACACACACACACACAGACTGAGTGCATGAGTTCACAGGTCAAAGGTCACACACAGTCATGATGTTTGCTGTGAATGATTGACAGGTGTCAGTCCCCCGTACTGCAGTCTGTTTGGACTCATGAGAGCGCGAGACCGAGTGTGGCTTCCACCCAATCACATCCTCAAGATCGAGGCCTCGGCCAATGAGACGCTGCTGTACAGGATCAGGTGCGTCGTCATGAGGATCAGCTTCAGAACTGATGCACGCTGGGATTGGCAGCCTAATCTTAATCCTCTCCGTCCGCAGGTTTTATTTTCCAGGCTGGTACGGCAGCGGCTCGAGCTCGGCCCGCAGGTACGGCGTCTCCAAGAGTTCAGAGGCACCTGTGCTCGATGACATCACCGTGGCGTACCTGTTTGCTCAGGTGAGGACTCGGAGGAGCATCGAGAGCCATGTTTACAGATGATTATGTGTCTGATATCTGACACGCTGAACAGGGTCAAAAATATTTCATCATTGGGTTGTTTTTTTCCACATTGATAGCGGAGTCTTAGACAATACAACAATAACTGTACTGTGAATATTGTTAGAATAATTAGAGATGCACCGATTGCTGTTTTTTGTAAGTGTGACCTGCTGATACCGATTTTGCTGATTCCACTGTCTAAGAACTATAATTGACAGCATATTCAAACAAAAATCTACTTTTTTAATGCAAAAATGTATTTACATAATAAAAGAAATTAGTAAACATTACAATTCCCAGATGTTCTCTCACTTAAACAACAACTAAATAAGTGCTCTGTGACTGGAAAGATGTAGAAATGAGTTGCTGTATAAAACAAAACAGACATCATCTCCCACTGTGTTTATAAATGGCCATTTTTTCCCTATCTTTAGTAAATATGTCATCTCATATAAATGTACACATCACAGAACTATGGCCCATGTTAAACATCTCCACTAGTTCAGGGTCAAGGTTAGGGTCATTTAGGGTCAGGGTTCAGCGGGACACAACTATGAATCTTGTTTTTCTCAGTCCAGATTGCAGACGGAGTGATATTTAACTGTGATTTCAGCATGAGCAGCAACACTTTTCACTGTCACACAGTATTTATTGTGCAAATCTCCATATGAGAGAACAGCGTCTTATCCTGTCTGTCTGTGTGTCAGTGGAGGTCAGATTTTCTGAGCGGCGCGGTCAGCGTTCCCATCAGCCTGGAGTTTCAGGAAGAGTGCTTGGGATTGGCTGTTCTTGATATGATGTGTTTGGCCAAAGAAAAAGCCAAGTCACCTGTTGACATCTACAACCACAACAGGTGCGTTCACCCGTGACCTTTGACCTGCCGCTGCCCATAGAGTCTGAACTGAACTCTGGTCATCTCCTCTGTGTTCATTTGCAGTTATAAGTCGTTCCTCCCGAAGAACATGCGAGCGCACATCCAGAACCAGCACTTTGTGACCCGGAAGAGGATCCGCTTCCGCTTCAGGAAGTTCATCCAGCAGTTCGGAGCGTGTAAAGCCACGCCGCGAGACCTGAAGCTGAAGTACGTGGTCAGTCTGGAGACGCTGCAGGCGGCCTTCTACAGCGAGCAGTTCCTCGTCAGCGAAGCGTCCGCCGGAGACGTCTGCATCCTCGTCAGCGGGAGCCGCGGCATGCGATGGTCCAAAGTAAAAGAGGCCAGAGACCGAGAGGTGCGTTTGAGTTCAGCTTCCTGGTGTTTGATCTTTTGGCAGACACACCTGCACCAGATGTAAAAGTTCAAGCTCAGTTCAAGCTCACTGACTCACTAGTGCACACTCGTGAATCCTCTCATTATTACCAGCAGACTGAGCAGAACTGAGATACTGACGAGAGCGACTCTGACTCTCTTTCTATCTCCCTGTTCAGGATCCGCAGGTTTACTGTGATTTCTCAGATGTCATCGACATCAGTGTAAAGCAGGGGTCTAAAGACGGATCTGTGGAGAACCGGATCGTCTCCATAAACAGACGGGACGGTCAGACGCTGGTGAGGTTCAGTCACAATACAGCATTACAGTCCGTCCTCGGCTCAGATCCGTGTCTGCATCGTCTCTCTCTGTGTCCCGCAGGAGCTGGAGTTTCATTCTCTGAGCGAGGCGCTGTCC